TCTCTGTTGCAGTCAAGGCAGCACAGCTTGACCAAGGCTGTGATTTGGATAGTGAAGAAACAGCAGCTCGCAGATGAGGTTATCTCTCTGCTCTCCCCTCCAGTCAGTAAGCACACTTTGGTAGCTTTACAGCACTGTGCAATGCAGTAAAGCCCAAGTGACTTACAGTTCTGTCCCTTCTTTTTTCGAGTCTGAATGCTAATGCGCTGCCGATTTAAAGGCTGGTACAAAAACAGATTGCCTCCATACTGTTTTTCACTCACTCTGAGGCAAATGACCTTGATGACGTTTAAAGAAACTTGTTGCTACTCAGGAAGTATGTGTCAGTCACACAACATACTGGGTACGGCATTGTCAATGTTAGGGGTCTCAAATCAAAAGAGGAGCTATAGTGGAGCAAAGTGCCCCAAGTACTATAAAGTCTGTCATAGGGCTGCAACAACTAATCGACATAATCGATTATTGAAAAAGTTGTCAACTTTTTCAATAATCGATTAATCGGCTTCCGATCAGTTGGCCCTGTTCACGGCTCCACACATGCTGCACGCCACACCTCCTCCCCACCTCACGCTCGCAGACCCGCCCGCATCCACGCCGCACCTCCTTCCCGCCTCACACACCGCCCGCCCACATTCACGATCGGCACAGGCACGCGGGGAGATGTAGTAAGGAGGAGCAGGTGTGGGGGGATGACAGCCGCCGATAGGCAGGCCCGATCTCAGAAGCAAGTTGCTGGGAGACTGCTCAGGTAAGCCTGCACTTTCCCACACATGGTGCTCTATAATGTATTGCTGGGATTTGTACTCCTCTATAGCTGATGGTACATAGATTAATCGAACGTAATAATCGGCTAACTAATCGATTTTGAAAATAATCGTTAGCTGCAGCTCTAGTCTGTCATATTGATCTTTACATGGGTCTACCCATTGTGACTCCATGATATCAGTCATCCTCCTGATCCAAAGTTCATCAAACCATTCTACACAGATTTCTGCAGACCCCTATATGAGGGTGACTGAATGGGACAAAGTTGCAGTAAGAGCGTTCTGACTTGTGCTCCGATGTCATCTTTGATGCCGCCTTTTATCCTTCCAGTGGTTCGCATCAATGGCTCCCTCTTGTGGGGTTTTAAGGCTCGCCGTGCCCAGCACTTGGCACCATTTCTCCAGAATAGAGGAACATTCCTGTTTCTTTGGCAAGAAGGGTGATTCAGACATTTATAGTGTGATACATCGTGTTATATATTGCATATTGTGATACCCCATTATTTTTAATGTTCTGTCAACACCTCACAATGAAGATTTGATTGGACTTGCATCATTTTGTTTTAATGCAGTGCACCACAATGCTGTTTTTGTGGCATGATTTTGTGGAACACTCACAAGGTATATAGGTTTGCCATTTTAAATAGCGTCACAACACATTGCTGTCAGTTTTGTGCATTGTGAATCTCATGTGAATCTTTCTTTAAGTAAATTTGTCCGCATGCCTGCAAGGAAACAAGTAATTTTAAAATGAGAGGTGCAAGAGCAGTTAAGGGCCTGTGCAGACCTGGGCATTTCGGGACATGTGTCCCGTGACCGCGTAATCGTGCACAATTGTACACAGCGATTGCCATGCAGTCTTATTGATTTCAATGGGGTTACATGTGCACGGCAATCGTAGCGAAAAGGTATATGTGCCTTTTTTTGCAACACGCGACGTTGGTGCTTGAAGTGACAACACTGATGGCACCGTGTCAGATACAGTCCCTAATAGAAGTCACCAGCACTATGTCGCCCGGAAGAAGGGACCCTGGGTGACCCTGAAACGTTGGCTGTTTGACTTATGTGACGATTGAATAAAAAGTGCTTTACTTCTTGCACATATTGAGTGCTGGTGACTTCTATTATGTGCGGCTGTTTTAGCCGCGAGCATGTTCGGTTGCACGGGCGGAATCGAGTCGGGAAAAAGCGCGATCCGCCTGGTGCAACTGGTGTGCCATTAGAATATAATGGCACCATCCAGCGCGATCGGTGGTGGTGGGTGACTACGTGCAGTATTGTGCACGATTGCCGCAGGGTCATGGATCGCCCAGGTGTGCACCTGGCCGTACATATGTATCTTGGTACAGGGTTAAATTGAACAGCTATAAGGATCATTTTTGTGTAACTTTTCTAGGAGATTTGTACAGGAGTCTATGGGAAACAGTGTATTTGCTTTTTTAAAAAGACCCTCCCAAGAGCCAATAAGTTTCACGCAAAATCTATTTGTAAGATTATATGTTATTTACCAGTAAAAGCCTCTCTTTTGTAGACTTTCAAATGTCCTGAGACTGTTGCAAGGTGCGGCCATCTTGGATTTGATGTCAGTAGCCCCAGCATACTAATAGCCGTCACTCAAATGACGCTGTATAGCAGGGATAGGCAAAGTCCGTCCCTCTAGCTGGGGTGAAACTATATATTGCATCATGCATCTACCTCTTGGAGTCATACCTGCCGTCTCAGAGTCTTGCAATGCCTTAAAAATGGTCCCTGTGTGTGTGTTGTAAAGTAGCCACCACTCCAAGCTCACTCCTGCGATGGACTACAATCTCACATTTAGTGTACTAATTTGTATTGAATTTGTAGTCCATCATGGGAACGAGCTTGGAGCGGTTGCTGCTTTACAACACACACAAGGACCATGGAGAATGAAAGTAGCCACCACCCAGAAGGAAGGACAGTATCAGTATGAGTTCAGAGATGATTTGAGGATCTACAACTGAATGATACACAAATAAGATACATTTTTGTTAATATTTAAGCTTCTTGAATGTATTTTTAAGATTTAACACCTGAGTTTAGTGTCACTTGAAGTGGAGCCAAAAAAGCAGCAGAAACTCTTAGCTAGAGTTAAAGCACCCTCTGCTGGCTGTCTTGTGGAATGCGGAATTGATTACTACAAATCTTATGGGGAACTCTGGCCAAACAAAAATACAAGAATATCCATTTACCTGTGTAGTGTGTTTTTTTTGTTTGTGTTTTTCTGGATGCATAGTTTAGAAGAAATATTGTCACATTTTTAGCTTTTAAGAAAGTAAGAATTTTAGCTGTGCAATACACATGCTGTGTGTTCTGCACATAAATAAACCGTTACGCAGTGTGTAATAGCATCTAATAGTACAGTCTCCTGTTCCTATAATGGTATAGGGGTAACCCTTGTTTAGCTTGCTGCTCACCTTTTTTTTTTTATTAGGTTTTTAAAATGTAACTTTTAGGGCTGCGGAAATTAATGATCCCTCGATTAATCGTTAATTTTTTTGATCGATCAAAATTATTTTGATCGGTACTCTCCTCTCCGCCGGCTTCCGGGTTTTCCTGGGAGTTCTGTCGCAGATCCTTCCCTTTTGTTAGCCGACGGGGCCACTTGGGCCGGTAAGTTTGCAATGCTCACACTACTTCCATCACAAATAACAGTCCTTGGCTAACTGCTCGATGTTAACCAACCAACTGGGCATTCTGGGGGACATCATTAAAAAAATAGGCTCATGATGCTGCCTGTATCTACTCCCAAAATAGAAAACAGAACAGAGAAGCGCTACTGCCCTTTAGGTATACATATAATTTCACATGTATGGGTGTTTATGCATGGCAACATTGGCATAAGGCTAGATAGGCACTGGAAAGGATTGAATGGTTAAAAAATGGGTGAAATGACTCACTGTTGCATGAGATGAATAGATGCCTCAATGATAACCGATGAGGAGTGGTGGTTCCCTGCAGAGACGGGCGCCTATCAGGAAGCCCGGGTCATAGGGAAAAAGAGAGGTTATGAACTGTGTGTAATCCCGGTGCCTCCTTCAGGGACATATGTGTCAAAGGATGTCTCTGTAAAGAGTCACAAGCGGAGTTTTAAGGTCTCAGCTGGCCAGGCTGAGCCTTAATGGCTACGTGAGGGTGAGGCGAGGAGACCGCTCGGCTGCGGTCAGACTTGCCGTGTCCTGTTTCTCGCTGGCAGTGAACCGTGCGATAGATACGCAGGGTGACGCCAGTGGGGGGCTGGGCAGGAGCTGTCCAATGGCTGATTGTATATAGTGTATACCACATTTACCACTGACTAATGCAGAGTTGCAATGCAAGCAGATCAGCTAAAAGTAGTTGGATCTGTATGTGCGTTATAATTAATCGAAATTAGTCGATGAATCGATTAAAAAAAATTTGATTAATTGAACACGAAAATTTTAATCATTACCAGCCCTAGCAACTTTGTGTTTTTGTTGTTTGTCCACTCCTTATATTGTAAGACCAACACAACCACTCTGAACTGGCTACAGGAATATGTATTCTAATGAATGATGTTGCTTTTTAAAGTTTCTAATAGAAATAATTCTAAATTCTGGCCTTTCTTAAACCAAACTTTGAAAAGTTAAAAAATAACATCCTCTGATGCCTCAACTTGTCTTTCCCATGCCATTGCTGACCTCTCTTTTTATAAATGCTAGCAGCCTGGCTGTCATTCTGACCTGGTTGTATCAGTACTTTTGTCAGTGACCTTGAACAAGTATATAAATAATGACTTCTAATTATTCTGTGTCTTTATCGCTCTTCAAACGTGTTTCTTTCACAAGCCTTATTCGTTTTTACATGAAATGACATAGGAAATAATGCACATGGCACAGTATAGAGTGATATTAATCTGTCTACACATTTCGAAGATGATGAGCTGTTTATGAAATTAGCTGCTGGTGACACTATTAGTCTTTAAGTGACACATGGCTAGCACTGAATTATATGCATCTACCATCAGGTTTGCAAAGATATTATCTCAAAGTCACACAAGTGTAGATAAAGAGCAAGGGATGTTTCAGGTCAATGGCTCAAAATATTTGTCAGCGGGTCAGTAAAAGAGCCAGGAAACTATAATTTCCAGGAGGGAGTCAGCAATGGCAGCCTCCACATAAAAACATGAAAGGATTAATAGACCGTAGTTCCACTTTTCTGGGTATCAGCTCTGATATCAATGTGATGCTTTCTTCCCAGGTCCACATTCAGAGAACAGAAGGCTGTGATCATATGACCTGTTCCCAGTGTAACACTAATTTCTGCTACCGCTGTGGGGAGAGATATCGTCAGTTGCGCTTCTTTGGTGATCACACGTCAAACCTCAGTGTATTTGGATGCAAATACCGCTACCTCCCCGAGAGACCGCACCTAAGGAGATTAGTGCGAGGCTCTGTTTGTGGTGAGTCTGGGTATCAGAGTTTTTAATTTGCACAGTGGACCTGTGCTCAGGATTGAATAAGTGTTTAATGTACAATGTGTGGGGGCTTACTCATTTTGGATCCTTATTGTGCTAACTTAAAGCAGAACTGTGGGCAAACGTTTTATTTACCCCTTGCCGTGGGGCTACCCCCACACTGCAAGGATTAAGTGCTCGTTTTTCCCTAGGGTACAAGTTATACTCGCCCAAGCCTCAGAGGCGGCTTGTTGTATACCCTGTGTATAGGGACATACCCAAACTACGGAGCCAGCTGCTGTCGCAGCGCTCTCTCCAGCCTATCTCCTCCTCTGCTGCAGTGATGGTGAGTATAACGTTATTTTAGCACCTAGATAAACCCGAGCACTTAACCCTTGCAGCGCGAGGGTAGCCCCACTGCAAGTGTTAAGAGAAAGTTTGCCCAGAGTTCTTCTTTAGGCACATGTGGAATCAAGTGTGTGGCCCTCTCCCCCTTGTGGTTTAACTTAGGAGATATATTAAATTGGGAACAGAAGAGATGCTTTGCTCCCATAAACCATTAGTAGCTTCCCTTTTGTTCTTTGTGTGCTTGGGGGGGGGCACAGACACAGTATAACAGCCACTAATCCACAGTGTTTTTAAAGCTCAACTCTGGCCCTAAATAGAAATGTCCTCAGCCCTAGTCTGATGTAGACTATATTGTTGGTTTTACTTGAACATGATCAAATACAGAGGAATACTTGCCTTAATTCATGTTCCCACAGTCTTGCTCCCTACAAGTTATGATTTTATAGACTGGTCCTCTGAAACCGCTCCTCTTGCCAGTCTCCAACCAGTCTTGTTGTCACTCCTCTCGTTGATGTCATCACATACATACACACACATACTGCTGGTCCAGCATTGTATGTGAAGATGTAGGCGTATCCAGTCGCATTCCATCGCCAGACACAAGTGGACCTGAGGGCTGGCTGCCACAGGATCATGTATTGGATCAGGTCCTAGTAAAATGAGTATATATATATATATATATTACCAGCTGGGTGGAGGAAGAGTGGTCTGCTTTCAAGCTATCAGTTAAGCTAGCAATACACACTTCAATTCTTCGTGTTCAGGCTGTGGTACTAAACCTAAGAAATCACTTGATTGCGCCATCAACATTAAACAATATGGATGGAGGCATTTCCCTGCTGGCTATTGTATTACACAGTTGGTATCCACGTTCATCCGACTGTTTTTCACCCAGTGCCTTTGATTTATAAATCACAGTTTGTGGAGTCTGGTAATGCCAAGAGGGCTACCTTCGGCTCAAATTTTCAGGAACTCATCAAAATTTGATTTGTGTATGGCTAGCCCAACAGACCACACATTATTTTGATTGAATGGTCTGAGATTAGTTATTTTGACAAAATATATATACTTTCCAGTTAACTTTTGCTAGTACTGACACTGTGGTACACAGAGCAATACTGAATATTCATGGCATCACTGCTGTTTCTAAAGCACTCATTCTGTCAAAACATTGTTGTAATTGACTGGGCAGAGCTTATATATTAAAACAAACAAAAAAGTTGGACAACTTCTTTAAATATTGCCTCGGCATTTGCTTTCGGTTCATTTCAGGATGCCAGTGTAAATTTAGGAACCATCATTTATAAATCAGCATTTCAAGAGGATTAAACATTTTACATGGAAATTAGGGATGTTACCATTTTTTCCCCCAAACCCAAGTAATGATACTTGTCCCAGTACTCACACATACAATAACTGATACATGTTTGTTTAGTGTCATGTGACCGTTTTTCTAAAACAATCCAGACTAATGATTTTAGGACAGTGGTGTAGTGTCAGGGCCCAGTTGCAACTGCGACCCTGGTAGTTCTCATGAAAATGCCAAGAATTGACACTGGTATCTGGACATCCCTAAAGGAAATTTTTGGGGAGGCACTTTCCGTGTAGCCGTGTAGACAGGACTTTACCACTGTGTTACTGAAACTTGAAAACCTTTTAGAGGAAATTCCTTTTTTTTAGCTCTTTAGCACTTTGCTTGTGATCTTTTTTTTTTTTTAAAGATCACAAGCAAAGCGCTAAAGTGCTAAAAAAGGAATTTCCTCTGAAAGGTTTTCAAGTTTCAGTAACACAGTGGTAAATGCATGCAGTCTTGAAAAAAAACTCTGCTGGCAGCTGACCCTGGCCCTTTCTGAAAATCTTGCTCATTATCACAAACTACAGTGGCCCGAGTTCTTTTTTTCCCTGCCCTAAAATCAGTTATAACTACTTTCTTCCTAACGCAGAAAAGGTGGCTAGGTTAGCGGGAGATGATAATAGCGGTCATCAGGAGATGTAGTCTGATATGTAAACATTCATATAATGCTTTGGACAAGATGAATTCTTCAAAATGACTGTTCATATTTTCCAGCCGGCAAGTTACTCATTGCACCCCTGCTCCTCGTTCTAGGTTTGGCTTTGGGAGCCATTGCAGTTGTAATAGGTAAGAATACACCATGTAGAGTAATACACATAAACATATACGCCAAGTCTGTTTGCTAAGGTTTAATAAGATGCTTTTGGTTTTTCATTAGCTTGAGGAGTCCATTATGGATTTACATTATTTATCTAATGTGTATCTATGTAACTGGTCATTTAGGATAACATTCTCTAATGTTTGTTCAGCAATGTACCTAATATTTAAATGACCATCTTGTTGCTTACATTTTCTTCTGTAATCTGACAGTTGATTATTTTCTCCTTTGTACACACTGAGAGCTGATGTTCTGGGTTAGTCTGTTTTAGATGCCTGGACATAACCTGGGTACCTTCTGTGCATCCTAATGTTGATTTGTATGTTTTAGAAGCTCCTTAGCTTTTACAGACGAATAACAATTCAAAAATCTACATCAAATATTCACATTCATTTTACATTATTATCCTGTATCGAAATGATTTGTCTGCATTTCCAAAATCTCGGTTTGATGTTGAGCGCTTAACCAAAGGCAATAGAAAAGCTGGCCTTGGATCTTTAGCTTTGAGGAGCAATAGCAAAGAGTTGGTAAATCCTTACCCAACCAGTGGATACCCTACTTTAGGAACAGTCTCCTGGGTGTTTCTTCTATAATCTGAAAGAAGCCTGTTCTATACCAAAATTGTAACTTAAAGTCCTTGGTGCCTGTCGCGGAGTTGAATGACTTGCTGGGTTCTTATCTTGCAGACTTTTTAACATTGAGACTTCATCAGTGGTTTATCTCTTACGAGTCGCTAAACATGGCAATCTTTACTGAGATGCCTGAAATTAGTTGAATTGGGTGAAAGCCAATTAATTTATGTGGGTACCTTTTTAAAACTCAATTAAACTATCGGTTTAAATCAGCTAAATATAAGATAGGAACCAAACTAAGACTATGAACAAATTTTGTGTTGATGCACCTGAAATGTACTTAGCTTATTTCAGCAAAGTTTAATTTGGATTGAAATATACTTTCTATTGAAATGCTTCTCGTGCACTGAAATCTGTGAAGCAATTAAAATATATATTTAAAATGTATTAATTGTAGTGAAATAATTAATTCTGTAGTTTATAAATATATTCTGTAGGAGATGAGATTAATGTTAATACCATTTCTAGTTGTCAAAAGAATTTTTGGTGTGCGTCCTAAACTTCTAATTTCTTTTAGGGTTATTTGGATTGCCCATCTACTGCCTTTGTAAAAAGAAACGGAAAAGGACACGGACGGGTATGCCGTGGTAAGGATAGGGGACCGCCTAAAGCTTGAAACAGTCCTGCGGGGGGTAATACTGTGTACTGGAGAGCTATATCATCAATAAGACACGGAATCGTAGAAGATGGACTGTAGAGCACAGTACCATTTGATGCTTTGCTTTCCGTACCACCCCAAAGGCAGACCATAAAGCCACCTCTTCATGGTGCACTCCCAGCTGGATATGCCCAGAATTGCTGCTTCTTTTTTATTTGTAATATTTGTATGTTTATTTTGGAACATTATTTGAATTGCTATTCCCTTCCTAAAAGTGTAGGCTAAAGACTAGATTCCCATTGGTTAGACAATCAAATGAGTACTCTAATTGGAACATGAAGACTTGACAAACCAGTCTCTCCTGCTAAAACCTTTGTCAAAGAACCGACCTATGTAAGGAAAACTACAGTAGCAGATACTGAAGAGATCTTAAAGAAACCTATAATAGTTTGGAGCAAACGTGGCCAAGCATCATCAGCATTGAAGTTCATGTGGAGTTCTTTACGCATTCTGTATGTGTAGCAGTAAGACATTACAACAAACAGTTGCAGTAAAAACTGCTAATGTATTGTGTACCAGCTTGCTTTTGATATGTCTGAGAAGAGGTATGTTGGGGATTATACAGTAATCCTATTAGGTGATAAAACACTAAGCGCCATTTTATATCAGCTAGTCACAATTTGGCTTTTAAATACAATGTTCTGATTTATTTTTATCTCGCACTTCCCAGTCATTAAGCTCACCACACATTAGATTTACCAGAACTGTAGTGCAAGGGCCTGCCAATTTGGATACACAATTAACACCACAACATAACCATATTATATATATATTTTGTAGATCTAAAGAAGATTGTACAAAGATTATGCAGTTAGATTGTAACATTTATGGTGAACTTTAAACAGATAAAAATTGTGTTAGAAAGGATCCCGCCATGTTTTCAGCACAGTTACTGAACAGGTCAGCCCTTGAATTGTCATTGATATATTGGGTCCTTGAGAGGGTCGAGGCATCTTTTGTGTAGGCCTGTGTTTAAGTTCCCTATGCAGTCTGCTCTTTCTAGTTAGCCAATCAAGCTATATATTCATGTGCCTCACAAACAAAACACTGGTTTTAATGTCCATCTCAACCAATTAAGTTATTTTCCTTTAATTCCCTTTCACTGCATTAGAGGATGAAATTTGGAGGCTGATTGCTGCAAGTTTTTTGCGCCATCAGTTCAATAAATAATCTGTACTAGTGTCACTACCAGCCAGAACTGTATGTTGTACCCTTCTGAAATCCGTGCTAAGTCTTTTGACATCTGGAGGGACCCAGCAATGTATGCAGGGAGGTTTTACTGTAGAAAAATTGGAGAGCGGATTCATAGGCAGATAAACCTCTAGTTGAAAACATTCTTACGATTGCAGTGCAAAGTATGGTGATATGCAGAGTAACTCGTAGCAATCAGCCTCTTATAATGACATGACTACAGTAAACGTAATGTAAAACAGTGGCCAGGCTATAGATATTAAGGGCCCATTCACACTTTAGCAGGGTTTTACAGTGCTGTGCCTTGCAGTACTGTGCATTGCATTAAGGTAATGCATTAATTTTCAATGGGCTGCCAACACATCACAACACAGGCAAAATCAGATATGATCCATTTTTTTTAATGCAGCATGTTGTGTTGTGGTGGTGCCTTGCCCTGCAAGTCTGGGGGCATTGCCCACTATTTTAGTGTGTTGGGATGCCACTTAAACTGAATGGCGCTTTGGCATGTGCATTGCTCTAACAGGCGGTAATATACATGTGAATTGCTCCTTCAGTATCATTAATAATGAACAGTAAATGCACTTTAAAACAAGTCCTCTCTGTGTTCTATGGCTGCAGACCCTGTGGAGCAACTCCTCCTCAGAACTTGTTCACACCACTTACAGTGCGTTCCAGCATGGTTAGCTGCTGGAATGCACTGTATCACATACTAAACTCCCCCCTGC